CGGGGATGCTCGCTCACAGCCAAGCGCTTCGGGTGATGCGAATTCTCCCCCCGCTCGAAAAATCGCTCTCCTGGGCAGCGCCCGCAGCCCTGGCAAGCGACCGGGCGCGAAGAACTGGGCTTCCATAAAATCGAATCAGATTCCGCTCGTAAAACTAACATTCCAACTAGGAATTATGTGAGTTCCAATTAGGAATTAGTGCTCTTTGACAGCCTAGATCCTCAATCTTCTTGTTTGTATCCATTGGTCACTTGCAGCTGGCCGATCGCCGTTAAGAACATCTCTTGACTTCTTGGTGCAAGTCATAGCATGCGCACCAGTCTGCTTGGCTTGGTATCAGCGGGCTCTCTCATGTTTGGGAGGACCTGTGCTCACTACTCAGTAAAATCTACCTGATATGACCCACCGTAATCCCCCTGATAGACTCCCAGCTTAAAGCAACCTGGAATCCGACTGAGGTCCCTTGAGATCATCCCTTTTAAGGCGCCCTCTTTCAGTTTCTGTTACTTCTAGGGAATGTATGGACCATAGCGAGCCAAACCCCTGCATTGGCAGCTTTAGCAAATGTGGGACTATGAGTTGTCAAAAGACACATCATGGAATTCACCGCAGGTCCCAGGTGAGAGACCGGCCCCAGTGCCCGCCTTCCAGTGCCAGCCTGTCCAGCAAGGCTGCGCCTGCACGCGAGCCGAGGGATGGTGACGCCGAGAATCTGCTTGGAATCGTGATGCTTTGTGGCACCCACCTGCAACTCCTTGTGTCTACACTGAAACTGATGTACTTGAAGGCCAATGTGAGTACAATGCATCAAACATCAAAGGCGCATCACTCTCCACCTCTGTTTGCTATGCATGTGTGTTTCTTGCTTGTTGCTGCAGAAACTGCGGGGCTGGAGCTGCGCAACGTTGGACTTATCCTGACGCATGCCTCCTGTTCCGTGCTTTTCATGAACATGTCGCCGGGCATACGCGGGACAAATCACAACGCAGGACAGGCCTCACCACTCACAATCCCAGGTACTTTGACTTGCCTTGTTTTGCCCGTGCTGAGTCTTGCCGATTTTCAAGGCTAGATCCTTTTTGTGCCTTTTTTGCCAGAACCTGTGGGCTGCCCTAGCAAAACCATATATCAAACCTGCCCTCATGCCTCTGGGCAGCAGCACCAGACTCCGCACTGCTCGGCGTGGAAAGCCTGAGGCAAGGCTTGCCCTACATCCACAGTCAAATGGCCATGGGTCAAAGTCCCGTACCCCCAGTGAACATCCCAACCCCCACTAAAATAGACTAAAATGGGTGGTGCTCCTACCCCAAAGTGGGATCCCATTGGCTTTGACCCACAGCCAAATCTGTGCCTTGCGCCGTTGCAGCATCTTGAATGCTGCTGTGGCCTTTGGTGCTTGCATCCTCAGCAAGCTGCTACAGGCCGCTGAAAGGCTGTTGAAATCAGAAGACGGAGGGAGGTGTATCTACCAAAAAGTGGCTCCCAGGTTCAAGTCGGCTCCATTGCCATGATCAAACATCGAATTCTAATTATATCCTAGGAGCCTGTACTTCAATCGGGGTTTCTCCAAATGGTGGACCCTTTTCGGGTGGTTTTACAGGGAACCCAAAGGTGAAACACCCAGGCATGATCAACGGGCATCCTGGGCTCAGGTTCTTCTCCTTGGCTCCAAATACGTTGGGCGCGCGTGAGTCTTTGTTGGCTTCCTGGATGATCTGTAGACTAGTGAGCCTGGAAGAAAACATCAAAACCATTTCTATGCTACAATGACTTGCAATGTGTATAACACCCCCAATCCCATGTCAATCAACAAGGCCGCTCACAAATCAACCTGGCCTCGCAGCCCTCGGCAGGCGCAGGGAAGCGATGAGGCTCCTATGCCATGACTGGAGAATCGGGCACATACAAAGGTGCCTCCCCCCAAAGCCACAAACCCCGCCAGTCAAATGCATCCCCAAACCAGGGGCTGCTGGGAAAAGCGGCGCTCTTGTTTTGGTAGTTGATTTTAAAGGGAAGCTTCCTCTGAAACAAAGGACAGGAGGTCCCAACTGGGTCAACTAAAGCCGAGTGCAAGTTGCACGGATGCCAAACCCTGCGGGGCCTGTGCCTCGATGTCGGGCACTATGCGCTCACCTCGCCAAGCCAATCCAAGCACCAGTTGTCCTGCTTTGGGCGATTCAATTAGTGGCCGTAGCATCAAACAGCCCAAATACCCTGTAGGTGTTGAAACGAGACGATGCATTTGCACGAAATCATGCTGGACTGTCATCGTGCCACCAATTAATTCTCAAAGCAGTGGCAAGCAAGCAAGCAAGCAAGCAAGCAAGCAAGCAAAGCAAAGCAAAACAAAGCAAAGTAAAGCAAAGCAAAGCAAAGCAAAGCAAAGCAAGGCAAGGCAAGGCAAGCAAAGCAATGCAACGCAAAGCAAGCAGGAAAGCAAGAAAGCAAGCAAGCCGGAAGGCAAGGCAAGGCAAGGCAAGGCAAGGCAAGGCAAGGCAAGGCAAGGCAAGGCAAGGCAAGGCAAGGCAAGCAAGCAGGAAAGCAGGAAAGCAAGCAAGCCGGAAGGCAAGGCAAGGCAAGCAAGCAAGCAAGCAGGAAAGCAGGAAGGCAAGCAAGCAGGAAGGCAAGGCAAGGAAAGGCAAGCAAGCAAGCAGGAAAGCAGGAAAGCAAGCAAGCAGGAAGGCAAGGTAAGGCAAGGGAAGGCAAGGCAAGGTAAGACAAGGCAATGCAGGGCAAGGCAGGGCAAGGCAGGGCAAGGCAAGCAGGCAGCTTCCTCTGTTCCTAACAAGAAGTGAGAGCAAAAGGCACTTGCAAATCTCCACAATTCTGGTCTAACGGCATCGCGTCCCGAAAGATAAAGCAGCCAACAGCAGCCAAAGGATGCTGTTTGCAGGGCCCAACTTCGAGATCGATCACTTTGACGTCCATGAGAAAACGATGACATCGAAACAGTTCTTGTGTGTGTAAGCAGCAGCAAGGTGCCTCCTATGACGGCTTGATCACTGTTTATTCAAGCTGAATAGCAACGCTGAGAAGCAGAATTAACTGATGGGACGCTCCAACCATTGTTTGCATTTTCGGGCATTGTCTTGGGCCTTTCTGCATCTTCCTAGGAGTGTTTTTTCTTCAAGCTGCTTGCAGGCTTCGTGCCAGCCACATTCAGGGACAGCCACGTTAATACTTCTGTGAGCTTCAAAATAATGCACGCCCTGCATGTGCGGGGCGCAACCGATCTCACCGTCCCACTTGCCAGTTGGCGATCGCTGACAAGGGGTTCGTGCGTAAATATTCGTCGTGTAAAGTTGGTTGGCATGGTCACAGGTCGGACAAGCGATCCTCTCTTGTCAAACGGTTGAAGACCATCTCCAAGCATCCCCAGCTTTGACGCATACCGAGTGGTGCGGGGCCACTTCAAAGAACAGCGCATCCCGCCCATCTTGCAGCCAAAAGTGCAGGCTGCAAGACAAAGTAGAGGCCTCGGGCTGTGCAAGTACACCCGGAAATATTGTGGCATCATGTTTCTGCCCCCGAAGCCAATAGCTACTGTAGAACGCTACTGTAGAACGCTACTGTAGAACGCAGCAAAGGCGCAAACCAACAGGTTCGGCGGAGTCGCTGATCGTACAATGGGATTCCTTCTGCTTCTGCCAGGGTCAACGAAACAATACTAACACTCAAAACAGTTGGGAATCGAAACTCAGGAGTCGTCCATGTTCTGCTTCCAATGTTGGGTGTGCCTTGACCATGTATTGCTTTAGGTGCTCTCGCTTGAATGTGACGTTTGAGGGAAAAAAAGTGCTTTGGATGGCCAACATTGTCTGCACTCGGACGCTCTAAACCAGGCGTGGGTGCCACTTTCTCGTCAGTTATGCTCGATATTTGGGTTCATATCTTGCGGATCGAAAACTGCCTCTTGAAAAAATAACCACCTGCCGGGCAAAACAACAAAAGCAACACTACACACCAGCATACTGGCCCTTCCCAAGAGAAGCTCCAAATTGAGCCATAAACAGTACTTGCCACTCCAGCCAATCCTAATGTGACGAAACCGAATCAGTAGCAAACAATTCATCATGTCATTGTACCTGATGCCAGTGACCTCGCACCCAAAAAAATATTGACTTTTTGGCTCACGTCTGCGTGCAGCCAAGCATCGCCAGCGCGCATCGAAGGCTAAACATGCTCTAGCTTCAGAGCATGACAGCCATCGCGGTCTTGCTGTAGACAAGACGCTCAGTTTCTGGTTCTAGGATATGACTCTTTGAGACTTGCTTCATTCGCCTGCCCGAAGAGTCAGGAGTCCTTGTTGTTGCTAAGGTCAGAGCTGACCGGACCTCTGCAAAAGCGGAGGTCCTATCAGTGACTAAAAAACACAACCTGCGCGTGTGCTTCGCCAACTCTTCAATCATTTCCTCAGATCCTTAGCAGTGACGTCAGCTTGTTGCCATCTGGGAGCTTGGCTGCAAGTTCCTACATTTGTCAACCAATTCAAACATACAGTAAACACCTTGCTTTGCATGCTACCCTTCAAGTCTTTGGAGCCTATCTTCAGCTTGGGCGTCGGCAGCACAATTGATCAGCCCTCGCTGCAAAGACGCTAGGAAGCCATCTGGCATGATCTGCGCGTTTTCAGCAAAAGTCGAGTGGCAGCCTCCACTGCAACCATGAATTTGAAGAGTGTCTCAACATAAACAATAATGCCTTGAAAAGTGCAAGGTGCTTCAATCCAGACATTCCAATCTAGATAGGGCTAGTCTGCGCAGCTCACTGAGACATGCTCACGAAGTGCTTACATGACTCATGGTGTATGAGTGATCGGCACACGCCATTGCTTTGCATGCTACATGACCCTTATGGACACGGCCTGATCAATGCGATTGTCTGATCCTTCAAGTCATACTCAGAAACAACAAGAGTAGCACGCTATCGGTGCGTCTCTTGAATGTAAACCTAGCTGAAGCATGGCTAGTACAAGACAGTTTGCCCTGTAGAAGTTGCGCCTTCTCAGCCTTCGCTGCCTTGTTCTTCTCTTGCAGCTTCTGATCTCGCTCTCGTCGGCCTTTCAGCCTCGAGAATACAGCTGAGAGTACCGTCATGGACTTGGCCCAACTTAGATTCAGTGGCACTCTCAGTCTTTCACGTCGGAAGCAAAGTAGGATCATCGAAGCGCAAAATGCAGCCAGCAAAGGACGCACCATCCATTCCGCCATGTTGGTGAGTCGTGGCCACACAAGCGTGCACATGCAACGTCCATGTGAGCCACGGTCAAAAGTGAGCCCCTTTTTTTTGTTTGTTTCTTAGAAAAATTGGCGAGACCCCATATCACTCCCAAAATGGACCATAGAGTACTCGGAAATTTGACCGAACCTCATGTGGTATCAGCTGTCAATCGACCATAGGATTTCCATCATGCTGCTGAACTGCCCGTGACAACGTGTATGTCCACTATGGCTGCTTTATTCACCCGGCGCGTTTGTTTATTGAATCCAGAAGTGACCGGCCCCAGACTTGAAAGTGAAAAGCCTACAAAGAAGAACGTCAGGGCCCTGCAGCTACCAAGCGTGCTGGTTCTTTGCCTTCCAGCCATGAAGTTGCAAATTTGGCTGCTTCCCTTGCACCAACAAACACATGCGCACCCAACAAATATATTATGATAAAAACAAATGGGCATCTGCACACTATTTTACGAGAAATATGAGCTGCTTCTCTGTGGGGCTATCAAGTCCTCGCTCCATCTCAAGGGTGAGGCATTTTGCGAACACCTGATGGAAAATATGAGAAACAACAGGAAAAAGGGTGAGGAAGGGAAAGACAACTTGAGGCGCTGGCGACATCTGGCCTGCTTCAACCTCACGAGCGCCAGACATGTTCAGCCCCGAATCCCTGTTCGTCACACCCTGTGATGGTTGATCCCAAACATACTCGAAGTATGATGACCCCTGATGTTCCTGTTCGTAGGTTGCATTGGGGAACCAGTACTCCTTTGCCCGACCATTTCGCTTTTCAGACTTCAACAGTCATCAAAACAACATCGGTTGTCTGAACAGCTTGTTGTTGACAAGCACCAAGTTTTGGGCATTGAAGGGGCAATGCTGTGCCTGGCTACCGCATCGCGCTGGTATTCATGATGCAACCGCTTCGCTTTGCTCTCCCTCTCTCATCTCTCTCTGTCTCTGTTTGTTGCCCCCGCGTGTGCCCCTGTCTGTGCCTGAGTGCACATGCTCTGACCAAGAATAAACGTCTTGAAGGGAAAACAAGCCCAATGCATCTAACCGACTCGTTGTTGTTTGATGCGCGTCTGATAGATAGACCGGCCGGGAAGAAATGGCCAGGAGCTATTGGCGCTACATGCTTGGATGCTTGGGCGGAGAATATATTTAACCCCACTTGGCATGAAAAAACTCAGGTTGTCAAGGGCGGTACACGTACACAGACGGTGACCACATTATCATCCATTTATTTCGCACTCAGCGGCGCCTCCCGCCCGCGCAGGGCCTCCCCCCAACCCACCCGAAACCACGGGCCTTGCGCTCCAGGCTCTTCTTCCGCGCCGCCTTCTTGGAGCGGCGCACCTCGTGTTGGGGAGGATGGGGGTTGAGGGGGCTCGGGTGTTGTACTTAATTGAATGAAATTGGATGTGTAACATATGAATATATTAATATACATATATATATATACATATATATGGCACAACATAACATAACATAACATAAAATGATATGAAATACATGTAATATAAACATATACATGTGTGAAAAAAAAAAACACATTTGTAAAACAAACAATATATAAATATAACATTAATTACTGCAATATAATGCAATACATCATGTTAATGTTAAACTCACATTGTCACATACAGATCATGAAGAACAGGATGCCATGACCTAAAGCCTCCAGTTGTCTTAGTGCAACTACCCACATCCGACATGTCGGCTTTGGGCTAAATCTTCCGGCCAACTCCTTTTCAGCGGAAGCGGTGTCACCAAACACCGCAGTCTGTCCACCATTTTATTTGTTGAGGTTCAAAGCTGTGCGCCCCTTAGAACACCAAACTTGGAAACATGCAATCGTCTGTTTTCATTCAACGCACCTTGAGCCTTGGGGGCATGTCAAACACCCTCAAGCGGGCTCGATGGAGATGATCTGCACGAGGAAACGCGCTGAGGCTTGCACTGCGGTTTTCTCATCATGGGCAAGCTCGGAATGATCCTGGCAACTTAACTGGGCAAATGGACCTTTGTCACCCCCTTCTTCAGATTCACAATGCGACAGGAGTGTTTAACAATAGGTTTCCAAAATCCGAATAAACAAGCACCAACATGCCTTGTGTACAACAAATGCAGAACCCTACCTACCTCATCCTTCCTGGAGTCCCAATGATCCAAATGGCTTCCACGCATCCTCGAACGATTTGCTCGTTTCACACAAGGCTTGTGCGAATTTGATGGAACATGTTCAAATTACTGCCCTGTAAGGGGTACCTTGGGAAGTGGGCCATGTTGGATAACATTAAGACGATCGCACTGTGACCATAGTGGCTGAAGGCGTTGCTGGATTCATCTGTTTCTACATGTGTGGAGCTCATGGCATACTTCCTTGTATGCAGCAGTATGCCTCAACCATAAACGACAGTGTCAGCCAGGGCAAAAGTGATCACAGCGGGGGCCGTCGCTGAGCCAGTTGAACATGGAGTGCGCATTTCACCTGTCAACAAGCCTCAGACTTTGGAGAGAATGCTTACGCTCTGTGGCAACGTGCGACGAGCAAGCACTAGTAGCCTGCGGTAAGCAAGCAAGGGAACAACACACAATGTCTCACAGAAAAGCCACTTGAGATTTGACAAAGTAAGTTGGGCCCAGGGTGCTCTCGAACTTGCAAACGAACAGCCCCCGGCGGACACTACAGACCAGTAAAAGCACTGCTGAACACGAATCAGTTCTGCCGCAAACGCTTTGCACACAAAAACAACTGAGTGTCACAGAGCTCAGACAGTCATCTGGAAGCCAGACATATGCCCAGGTATTGTTCCCAACTCCGGGAATCTTCAAACCAGGCTAGCCAGCAAACCGCTAATGACGGCCAATCCAAAGGCTAGCTAACCGGCCAACAAACTCATCAACCCGCCAGCCATCCAAAGGCCGTCGGTACCCCCTGCCCGGTTCGCCTTGACGTGTCGCCTTGGGGCCTTCCTTTCTTCTGGCCTCCGCAGGCTTAATATTGCACAACATTGCTCCGGTCAAGCTGTGACAAGCAAACGCACAAGATCCCTAGCAAAAAGCTCCTTCCCACTCCTTGCATTGGTGAGGTTGTCTCCCAAGTCTGTTTGATGAGGGCCCACCACTTCAAAACGGTTCGCACCAGTTGTTCCATATTAGACGGATACTGTGGTTGGTGTTCATATGTCAATTCGTCAGGCATTTCTCTTGTGGGGCATGGACATGTCCTCAAAGGATTTATGCTACTCTGGATTGGTTGTCTCAAAAACCATCCTTGAAGAATCGATGAGCATCCCAAACAACCCCGAGCAATCTGTTTGTCCGTGGCACAGAATATGATGGTTCGTGTCTTCATCCTGGCAGCGGGGCGTTGATGAATGCAAATACGCGCGGGCAGCTGCACCATGCCAACACGCTAGCACTGATGTTTTTTATCCTCGAATGGATCAGAAGCAACCAAGGTTCCAACAAAAGTTAGCTTCCTTGTTCACAACAGCGGATATTTTTTTTGTGGGTACTGAGCCTCAATCGAAGCGTTGACGTGCTCGTTCTAATTTCAAGCTCAACTGACTGAGGTTACGAAGTCTGCTGAGAAACACCAACCAACTTCTTTAGCTGGCGACAAAGCCCTGTGCAAATAGCCTACAATGAGTGTTTTAGATTGTTTGGTGCAGAATTGCCTTCAAGAATGACTGCGGGGGGAACATTTTGTAGGCCTCACTGTTTGGAACTGTCGAATGTCAACGGACTGGAGAGCGCACCATATTTTGGTTGTGTTCTGCAGTTCCGTCATTGGCAACGCAGCACCAATGCCCCACCCAGCATGCACTTGCTACCCCGCAGCACGGTGACGTGTAGGTAAGTGATTGAAGGATGCCTTGCCAGCTCTCCATGAAAGAATGATTGGTCTGAACAACTCCTTGTTCACCAACCAGTGTTTTGCTCTCGTACATAAGGGCACACTTCTACTTGCTACATGTGCACCCTGCCTGTAAGACAGTACCGCAGGACGGATCGCAGATTGCTTTTCCTTGCTTGTGTTTGTCAATGTCCTCTGCTGTTTTCGGACAGAGAGTGGTTGCTCAGCTGCTGGGTGGCAGGAGCTGTGAAGGCCTCGAGTTGCAACTGCGCTGTAACCAGGTGTGCGTTGTGGCATGTCAGCACAAGTATACACTGATGCCTCTCTAATATGTGTATATATATACACATATTATATGCAACCCCCCCCTATGGACCCTGGTTTTGCTGCCTTTTTGGGATGGTAATTCTAGAATCTTGAAATGTCCAATTGTGGGTCCTCAAAGCCTCATAATTTGGGAGTCCTCCGAAATGTCCCAATATGATACCCGTTCCAAATAGGATTTCTCTTCAACTAGAATTAGAATCTCGAATATAATTTGGTTAGGATATAGTTTTCAAAAATGGGTTTATGCTCAACATTGCTCAACCACAGCTTATATAAGCAAATCCTTTTCAACTAGGAGCTACATGAGAATATAAGTATCGTTTCGGGCAAACTCCAACTAATCTTTAACAAAAGAAGTTAGATAGGAGTTTATTCCCAAATATAATCTAAGTGTTAGATATAATCTAATACGAACACAACTCAACTAGCTATTGACAATAACAATTAAATAGAGACTCTTCTCAAATATTGTTCATATTAAATATGGCTTACTAAACATTTAAGGGACTTCTACAAGGAAATTCGAAATACGATTTGTGCTATTTATATCCTGGCCCTTTTGCAGCATAAGAAAGGTCCGAAATTAAACTTGTTAGACGGTGGCTCAAAGGAAAGTTCAAGGGAAGAGAGGTTCAAATTCTAAAACTATTTAGAAACAGGCATTCTAGCTGAATCGATTCTATTTAAAATTATATTTGCACAGGAAAACAAAATTCATTCTATCTCAAAAGGTGGAGGTGGTAGATGAGCAAATGTGGAGAGGTAGTTCAAGAGGGGGGGTGACGGTGTGTGAACATACATATGTATATTATATACATATACACATACATACATATATAGTACCCTAATGATCCTGCACCTCTGCGTAAAATACTGTAAAATACAGTGTGTTTGAGCATTCCACATACCTTTGTTTACCTCCTGGAAAAGGGTCAACATGCTTAATAGCTAACATGAAGCAAACCGCTCACCAAAAGCGCTTGAAAGTTTGTCTAACTAATAACTTGAAAGTGTTTCCACTGGATCGCTAAGCACTTGAAAGCATTTTACTAGTGGATGGAAGAAATAAAGATTGAAGATGACACAGAAAACTTCCTGAGAGTTGTCAATCCTGGCCAAACCCAAACAACATTCAAGTTCTTCTCACGCTTGAAAGTGCTTTACCAATGGATTGAGAATTCAATATCGAGGATTGCACAAACAACACCTTTCCTGAAAATCATCCATCCTGGTCAAACCCTAAAAATGATCAAGTTGTTCTAACACTTCGAACGTATTTTAACACTGGATTGAAGATTCGAGATTGAAATACTTCACGGAAAGCTTTTCCGAGAATCTTATTGAACACCGAGAGTATTGGGACAAACCTGGAATTATTAAAAACAAATCAGGGATGCAAGATTCAAGAATCTGAGAAAATATTTCTCAGATTATTGAATCTTGAATATTGAATCCATTTCTTAAAAAACAAAAAAACAACTGGGATTTAAGATTCAAGATTCCCAGAACATATTTTCTCAGATTCTTGAATCTTGAATCTTTAATCCAGGAATATGTTTGTTTAAAAAAATAAAAATAAAAAAGTTGTCCTAATACTCTTGGATGTATTCAAACTCTTTCAGATTGCAGATGCTGATGTCATCGCTTTTGTCACATATGTATGCATGCATGCATGTCATTTTTACATATGGCGCACCCCTAATTTTGACACAAAATCCAAGAAGCAAAAAAGGCACAACACACTGGAAAACTACAGGTCAAGCGCACCAAACCAGGGTCCATGGGGGGGCACCATATATATATATATATATATATAATTATATATGTATCCCCTCTTCGTACCCTCGTAACTTAGCCGTTCTTCAGGCTTTAAGGATCGAACATTGTTTGCTGCCAGAAGCTGAACACGTCCAGCCTTGTTGCACAATGCCGGTTCTCTGCATCATGCTCAATATGGCCGGGTTCACCCTGTTAGCCAGATGCCTGTTGAACCCCTTGGACAAGAAAGGGACCTCCCTGAAACAGGGCTGCAAGACTTGTCAAAAGGGTCAAACCGTAAACCCGGCGCCGGCAAGCTGTGCGTCCCGGCGCTTGCAGCGTGGCATCCGAGACCATGAGGGGGATGGTCTCCTGGCCGCTTGACGATAAAACATAGCGGTGCAAAGAATCCGATCTGGAACAGCACTCAAAGCTCCTTGGGTATGTGCCCCTGTATTCAGAATGTCCAGTGCAGCACGCGTTCAATGCTGCACACCTGCTTAACATATCAGATTGTCTAATGCATCACGTTTGTGCCAAGCGCTGCTTCGCAAAGGTCGAATGGGCATTCTGCGGGCCTTTCAATCAAAGCTCAATGATTGTTTGGCCTGGGGTCGGACCAACCCGGTTGACATGGCCAAGTGTCAGGAAATGCGGAGGTGCTGGAAGCTGGGGGGTTGAAACCGAATGGAAAGGCATCCGCAGGAAGTTGTGCATCACTCCACGGCGATAACTTGCGGACCGTTGCACGCCTCCATCTTCAGTGCCGGCGCCTTCTGCTCACCCCCGCCCAGCATAGGCGGACGGGGCCTGCGATTCGTGGGGCGAGGAGTGAACTGGGGCGTCCCTTGTGCACAAAAGGCAAGTATGTTGCCCTTGTGTGAAAACAAACATATATTGTGGTTGTTTTGCTAGAAAACCACACACACACACAAGGTCAAATATGTCACATGTCCAACCAAAAAGCAAGATTGCGTACCATCCTGCCTGTAGGCATCACCACAACCGGTGTCAACCAGGCAGTGGAGGCCCTCACTTCAGTTTCCAACAAGAGTCTTTGGCGCTGCTCACATTTTGTTCATCATAGTTGGATCATCATGTGCCAATTGCATGCATTGACATATTTAAAGGCAAGGGAACCAGTGGCGCGGCCGGGCGGGCCCCCAGCCACATTGTTAGAGAACCTGTTCACATTGAAGGATCATCACATTACATGAGAGGTACCTAAGAGGCGTCCTGTGTGCGTATGCGCGCACACACACACAAACGCGCACACACACACACACGCACATGCACACACTGACCCACGCACACACACTCCATGCACAGGCATATGACAATATGTGGATCCATCTTTCCAGTGATATCGCTGGTCTTGAGACCCGCACGGTTTATCCAGCGTCTTGCAGCGCGACTTCATGCCACGTCAACATTTAGGGCTCGGATATTCAAGTAAGCAACAGGCACGCCCTGTTCGCCAAGTGGGGCTTCTTGCCGATCTACCCCGCATGGCTTCCCGTCATATCGCTTCTTCGAAAGGATGCCAACATCCCATGCCGACGAAAAACGAAGTATCTAAGGTCAATTGCCCTTTATTGTCTGTCCTCTTGAGAACTGGATCCAAGGCTACCGCACCAGTGCCGTTGCACTTATTTACCAACAGGCAAACATCTCCTAGACCATCCATATATGCCTGCGGCCTCCGTACTAAACTGTTGGCACCCTTGGCCAAAAACAGGCCATTGAAATAATACAATGGTCTAATCACCCATGTACGGGCATTTACCGAACCGAAAGAGCCATATAGACGGCAAAGGCAACAAGCGAAAAAGCGCTTTGGCGAACCGATCATCTCTGCAAGTAAACGCCATGACCAAGATCATATTCTCACAGCATTGAACGCAATCACAAAGTGTGATGGCATCTCGCTGTGTACTATCAAATGGCCGACTTTTTTTTGTCCCAGCGCGCTTCCACCCCCTTCCCCCCGCCCCACGGCCGGGCGCCCACGCGTGAAGTGAGCGTTTGACAGCTGGTCCAGCTTAAACCTCCGCGCGAGTCTACTTCGCTCCATCGCCACTGTGAGATCCAGATTGGAACCCTTGTGACAGGCCCGGGAAATGCATCTTGAGGATGCGAAATGTTGAGGACCAGCAAGTTGAGCCGTCCTGTAATTGCCAACAGTTGGAAAAACATAGAAGTTGCCAGTTCAACCCACGGCTACGCAGGGCTTGTCCCTCCCAGTGTGGGACGCACCAAGTGCCTGCTGCGCCTCATCTGTTTCTTTAGCTTTCGAAGGGCTGCGACGGTCGGGCGAAAACTCGCGGCCAGCACTCCCAAGCAACCAGACAAAGCCGGCCCGTTGCTCCTGAAACGCACTGGCCGGTGCCCGTGGCGAGCAAGTTTTGAGAATAATCTCATTCAAGATTCAAGTAAACAAACATGTCCTCCCAGTGGGAGTGGCTGAGTGGACAAAGAGCAATTCCGAGACAGCACTCTGCCAGATCTGCTGCGTGGCGAGCTTGTTTGCCAGGTCACTGAGCGCAAGACCTAAAGCATCTAACATCCAGCTGGCAGCTGAGTCCCCCAGCATGAGCTTCACGAAGATCTCCTTGATCTCGGCCTTCTCCTGGGACAAGACTTCCCTAAACTTCCCTCGCAGCCATCCCAAAACAAAGCCACCGAGCTCCCAGGGACTGACAGGGCTGCTTCGGTCTGGTCATATCGAAGGTGACAAGTGGGGAGAGTGACTGACTGTCCGCTTCAACATGGGAATGCTCTTGTTTCCAGTAAAGCCGCTTTCAAAGGAAAACACGAGGCAGCTTGGAGAGTCCCCAATGTTGCGATACTCCTTCGCAGCAGTGCTTGTCCAGGGATTTCTGTTGGCTCAGGAAGCTTGGCATAACACCATTTGTGGTGAACATGGGCTCACACATGAAGCCACTCGTAGGAATGTCATTGGCGAATAGTTAACAGCAGTCGCGCCTGATTTTGGAAGCCTTCAGCAGCTAAGCCGCGGTGAGGGACACACGCCCGAGTTGTAATGGGATTGCAAACATGGCTGCTCGGAGAGATACTCATGCAAAGCATCTCTGTTCATGGTAACCACAGCATGAGTTGGAGGGAGTTCTCTGCCAGCCATGACGTGTTTGTTCACATTACAGCTTTGGGCGTGGTTTCCTGCACTGGCCCCCTTGGACTCTCCAAGTCGTTCATGGGACTGGTTGGCCCAATAGTTTAAGGCTCAAGCGTCGTCTCAAAAGACAACTGTGCAATTGACTTGTGGTTAAAAGACCACAAAACCGGAGTCCATCGCGAGCCCAGGACCCTTACAACGCATGGGCCGCGGCCTTGTCTTCCGCCTTCTGAGAGTCCGTCGCGTGGCCCAAAAACTCCGCCTGGCAAAACCGTAGCCCAAGCTGTACATATGTGTGATGTCAATCCTGGGTGAGCACATCTGTATATATGTATATCTATATACATTGATTTATCTATAGTTAAGACAAAGTAAGACATAATACGGCTATGTGTTTGCATAACTTAAAACTAGTGCGTATTTGTGAACCATCAAGCAAAAGACACCTAATGAAAATAAGGAACCAACCATCAGGCGCCCATGCAGACTAGGGGGTTGTCAAAAATGTGCCAAGAGGTTGAAAGACCTCCCTCAGCACCTTGAGTTCTTCTTGGCCCGCCTTTCCCAGGCAAGATTTCGACAATATCTCTGCTTTGGTCCGTGGCCATTGAAAGCCTCGGAGTCCAAGCAGTGCCCAAGCTTCGGAAATGCTCAACCAGGAGCTCGGACAAAAACCAAAGAGGCAGCTGTTTGACCAAAGTGCCCTCGAAGATGTCCCAGGTTTCCTGAACAAAGTTTCACACACACAACGGTTCAGGGTGGGGCGTCCAATGGCTTACAAAAGAGCAAACATATTTCACAGTTCGTTCTCCACACCCAAGCCGGCAAAGCCACAAAGCATGCAGAAAATCGGACCTCCACTGGTCGACACTCAAAGGGGCTGATCTATTGCAACGAGCCTCGTACTGCTTGGCGTAAATGTCGCCAAGGCCAACTCGGCTCTTCTGGAAGTTCAAGGTCTCTACGGTGTCCTGTGCCAGAACGCCGAAATGCCCTTGTCAGCAGTCAAGGTGCCACGGTGGCTAAACGCTACCACTGCAAGCCCAATATTGCCCACTACATCCTGTACAACAACGCAGGCAGCGCAAAGCGCGCGGCTCTCGCAAGTCTCATTGGTGACCCTCCTCATCGTCAGGCCGCTGAGAGGGTGGCAACTGCGTCTTGCGCACCTGGCTTGAAGCTCAGAAGTGCAAGTGTGTCAAGCACATTCAAAAGAAGGACATCGAATATGCCAAATTACAAAAGGCCGCATTTGTTGGGGGCATGTTGGTCAAACACCCGACTCTGAGTGGATGTTGGTCAAGGCAATAAACATACCTCGCTACAGCCCGAAGCGCAGTCAAATCTCCATACGCGACTCACGTTAATTTGAATCCCGGCAATGGCTGCAAGCAAGCACGCATGACTTCAGTATTCCCAGCTAATTAGCGGTGTCTCTGTGTGCCCATCATGGTTCCTGACTCTGAAAAATTACTTGCAAGATCAGAAATGCAAATCAGCCATTTGAAGAAGGCTGTCCATGCCCTCCTTGGCTTCAAGGCCCAGACCACATCATCGAAGGACTCATCCCAAACACGCTGTTTGATGATGGCCTCAGCAGCTCGCGGGCCGTGCTTCAGAGAGAGATGTATGTATATATATATATATGGGTATGCGCCAAAGCAGAGCGACCCCCAAAATGGTGATTTGCCTTTTGATCCAACCCAAAATACGGCTGCCCTCAACCAAAAATAACGCGTATGGATCATATGGAGGTGTGATCGAGGGGCTTCCTTTGGCTTTCCATTTGCACCCTTCCAGGGACGAGGGTGTCCCGTGTCAATAAAGGCCTAAGTTGGAAGCTCTCTTGCCTGATTTGCGTAGATCCGTGCTGCCCGATTCTTGCACGGGCTTGTTCTTGGTATGAACAGCCCAACCACTCCATACCATCCAATGGTTGGTGTAGGAGTATTGCCACTGAATACCTTTCGGGTGGCTGTGACGAGACAAACGTGTGACAAAGCTCAGGTTCCCTGCCAAAGAAAAAGTAGATACTTGATGGTGTTGGGACGGGCTTTCCCTGTAGCCCCGGCTACACGCGCCGCATCTGGTAGTTGATCTGTGGCCTGAAATATGGAAGCTCATACAATGCTTGGCTTTTTTGTGCGTTTCCCTTTTAAGCCCCCTCCAACACACACACACACACACACACACCCACACGCACACGCACACGCACACACGCACCCGTCCGAGAGCCTCCAAGTCCAGCTTGGAAGACTTGGCAAGTTCATCCGCGCCCGGGGCGTCTTCCATCGCCTGCGTCATGTTCGTTCCAACCCGCCGACTTCCCATGGCTCGAAGCCGTCGGGGAGTTGGTCGTTTTGACGAACCTGGTCGCATCCAAATGGGCTGAGTTGGTGGATTTTGACATCCCTTGGACAATGGAAGGGGTGAGTTGGTGAGTTGGCAGTCAAAGTGATGAGGGCACACTCCAGGCGAGTGAACACCCCCAACGCGTGCTGGTACCAGTCACGTGAATCTAATCAGGTAACCCTTTAAATTGGTGGTTTGGGTTTTGAACCCCCGGCCATTGTAGAGGGAAAATTGAAAACCACTCCTAACCTCCAACAAACCACCAATTAATAAGAGGAGAGCTGATCTCAATGCAATGGTGCGCAAAATAACATACTCAAAATCTACGTCATCCAAAACAAGGCTTTGGCTTTGGCTGCTGGCATTCCGCTAGCATTCGGCATGCCCCAGCCTACCAAAGGTAACATAACTCAGAGCGTATCCTGTACGGGCATCAGCCAATTAAATTCGCTTCAGACAGTCCATCACGATGCGTGACGCTACACTGAATCAACAAGTATTCCTCAACTGCTGGATCCACCTCTGGGCAAAACAAACGTATTGTTCGATAAGTTCAACCCTCCGGGCGGAGCATTCAAGTTCTATCCAACCACACTTTTCGGGGGACTTGTTTGAATGCATTCACCACCCAAGCAATATTGAACATGTTCGGGCCACCACACTCTAACGGACTCCCAAGGAGGTGCATGCTTGGCCATCCCTTGACGAATATACCTATGGTTGCATCTTCAAACCAATGGGCAGTCACGCTTACCACAAACTCCTGAAAGGTCCCGCTTACAACAAAACACTGAAAGGTCTTTCTGGGTTAGTCTCAAAGGCGGCGACCCCAACTGTGTGGTTTCCCTTTTCAAGGCGTAGGGTACCCTCCAAAAGTCACGGTGTGCCTCCTCATCTGCGTCGCCCTCGCCGGCGAGCTCCTGATGCGTGGCTGCGCATGGCGAGTGTGAACTTGCCGGACACGAGACACACCCCAAAGTTGGCGAAATTTTATTGACACCCAAAATGTGAAGGAGGGTCAAAGGGTTGCGGGGTTCAAAAGGCATCTACGAGAAACACTCCTGCCAAATGCACCGCTCGCACAGATTCAACATCATTTGTGAAGAGTGGAACACTGTTCAGAAGGGACACTGTTCAGACAAAATGCTGTCCAGTCAATTTGTAGCTTCCCACGTTTGTCATTGTGAGTATTGTCTAGTATGCTCTAGTATATGTTGGGATTTCAGGCTTTTGCACATATGTCGGTATGTGTTCCGCATTTAATGCCATGTTTCTGCATTTTCCAATATGTTTGAGTTCTCTTGTAAATGCAAACCAAAATAAAGTAACCCTGCTGAATAAGTCCCCTCTGCTTTCATAAGATAACATTGGAGCTCCTGCTCAAATGCTACCCACACATGCTACAAATTAGGAGTGCTTGCTTTGACAGGCATGCAGGTCAAGAGATGTTGACTGCCAGTTTTGCAGATACGGCACCAACAAGCAAAGAAACCACCGCCCGATCAAAAGGGTGCCTTGTCCAAGGTTGGAGTGCACCGATTCCGTAAGGTGCGTGCCATTGCCTTAACATTGCAATATGAGCTCCATGTACTATTAATGACCCTTCCTTGTCCCCAAGCAGGTGCTTCAAGCAGGCAACACTGATCAATGCCTGAAATGGGCGCGCAAGCAAGCTAGGGGCTTCTGCTAAAACCAAGACACTACTCATGAACTCGCAACTTGGTAACGCAATGGTATTGTGCTTCTTGATAGTCCTTTTTTCCTAAAGGAACGTGCATGCAACGTCAGCAGCTCTTCGCGTGGTCTCGTCGGGACACCTTCGCGTGCAACACCTGAATGAACATGTGTACGACTTTGAATTGGGGACCCTCTGGTGAACAACTTTTAGATTGTTATGTCCAACGCGTTCGAGGTTCCACGTAAGTTCATAGCCATATCCCCCCTCCTGAACCGAGCTGATTTGCTGTACTTCGCCCGTAAGCCTTGCTCGATTGGTCTTGAGGCCTTCTTAAGGCACATGCTCGACGCGTTTGTGTGACCCGCAGTGACGAACTCGGATTTGTCAGGACTGTAGTAAGCAAAGACAGCTTGCATCTAGCCTTGAAGTGGATGAGGCCCCCGGGACTACCTTGTCAAAGCAGGGCAACTAAAGCCAACTTCAATCCCTCGCCGGTTTCTCCTCAGCTCTGCGGGCGGCAAAGTGCGTCATGGGCTGGTCTAGTGCAACCTGCGGCAAGGCGGAGTTGAGCAGGAAGGAGCACGCAAGGCCCAAAATGACAAGCCTTGTGGGCTATGAATGAACAGCTTCTAAGACTAAAGAAATATGATAAAACACTGTATGCTCCGTGTTCTGCGTCTTTGGATGCCTCAACACAGCTATTAAAAACCATAAACACGGAAGTACATGACACATGCTCAATAAGATGCAGCCTTTTCAACACCAGCAGGGCCGCGCTGTGGATTTTGCAGCGCATAGTTTCGACAGGGTCGTAGAAATAAGCTCTGCACAAAAACACCTGGCAGTGGTTTGCAAGTTGAAACTCAACCTTTGGATGGATTCTGTTCGGCAACTGCCGTTGCCCACAAACAAGAAGCAGTAGATTTGAGCTTCAACATATCACCCCACAGGAAGCCCTCTTCGACGTCAGGCGGCCCTCTTTGAGGAGAGACGTAGTGTGCACTTCTCAAGTTGTCACGAACGTCTCAAGCAACGCTCACACGTGCGCGCCTCGAGAAGGGAATTCAAAGGCCGCTGCCGCGCAGAGACCTGCAAAGGATTCCGTCTGAAACATGTCGCGGAATCTGAAGCCCGGCAGCCCGGAAAGGAGTTCCAAAAAGGCGCTTGTAGATCTGCGTACGGGTTGGGATCCCTCACCATCGAGTTTCCCCTTGCAACCAGATTGAATCATGTTCCATGTCGCAACCATACAACTTGGAGAAAACTTGTGGATGACCATCTTTTGGGGCTCTTTTTGAGCTCGCCTTGTCATACAGTCCCTTGGGCCCAAAGACCCCGACCAGTTTACAGGGAGACCAAGGGAAAGCCACCCAAGTTGGGGGGCGGGGATGCTTATCGAATTGAGCGAAGACATATCGAATTGAGTCATGAGAGGCACCAAGCTCTGCCGACGGTTAAAAGCAAAGTCCGCCTCTCCCTTCATTTCCCAGGTCTTCTCTTGCAGCCTGAAGCAGACTTGCGCAGAAAACACAATGGCCTAAAAGCGACACATGTCATCCAGGAAATGCATCTAGGTCTATTTGCTTCGTGCAAGGACACATCAATGTTGAATTCGAACAGGATGGACATTGTCAGCAACAGTCAGGAAGTGCAAGGCCACAATGGTCCATGGCATCCATAAAGCACGGGCCTTGCAGAAGTCAAGGCAATCGGACTGTAACTCATCTCATGGCTACTTTTTCAGAGCTCCTCGGACGGCCTAGCCGACCCTTTGTGTGGGCTAAGTCGCCTAGCGTTGCCATCGCTTGCGGAGTTGAGGCCTTCGCCGACCCTTTCCAGGAGAGAGGATTTCAATCAAGTTGAGCCATAGGTGACCTTTTGGAAAAAATAACGCCCCGGTAAATGGAGTACAGCAGTCTAAACCAGAGCCATCTATATGTAACCAAACCAATCCAACCAGGACATCTATGCGTTGAGCAGGGACTGCAAACATCTATCCTGGCTGGCTTTGGCCAGGCTGTTTTTTGCCTCTATACGGGTGAGACATCACCTTGGGCTTACGGATCTCCTTCGAAGGCCTATTTGCCAAGGGCTAAGGTCGCGCTTGCACGGTCATGTTTTTTTGGGCGCGAGGGGCTGATGCATCGCCGATCGGAGATCGTTTAGAAAGTCGAAGAAACCTCGCAGGAACATAAAGACAGCCAAGTGATCGCTTTTCATGGTTGAAGCTCAACGGTCTGAAGGCAATGCCGCAAAGTACGGGTCAAATCCTGTGCACTGATTCATCAATCAAAACAACTGGTTAACTATGCAGCGCACTCTGACAACCTTGTACCGAAACCAGCAATATAGCCAGTATAGTGAAATTGCAACTGGCCACGCACGCCACAGCTGTTTGGCGGATGGGCGCCCAGCTGTTCTTCTTCTAGCTTCTTTACCTCCTCCTCCAAGCTTTTCAGGTGCCTTGCAACACCGAGCAAGTTCGGGCCTTGCAAAGACAAAAGGACGCCCGTAGCTGCCATTGGTCCACTGGTCATATGCGCGGGTAAAATCGCCCAAGTCAAAACTAGAAAACACCATCCACAAGTCTGGCGTCACAGCTGGCGCTAAGTCCTGAAAAAGGCAATGGGGCATACATCTCTGAGAACGAAACATATTTCTGCACGGCATTGCTTCAGTTTCCCTCCAGCCGCTCAGCCAAGGACGCGGCCAGTGTGGAAGTGAATGCATAAAACATCTTTGAGTTGAGCTACGAGTCGAAAACCCAAGGGCGAACCACACCAATGGATCAGTCTCATGGAAAAGGTTGCAAAAAGTCAACCTGGCTTAGCTCATGCTTTGAAAACAGGAACATCGGTTACAAAAAGGGTCCAGCGCTTTAGACTGAAGTCAACCATCTGGCGGGTGAAAGTATCTGACTAAATTGCTTGCAATGAACGCCACACATTACTGGTTGGAGGTGGAGAATGACCCCTTGCGGGAACCTGAATCAAGCAGCGGCACAGCCGAACACCAGGGTCCCACAAGTGACCCTGTGTTTCTACCGCTAAACTACCAAGCGATCCAGTTGAGGCTATGGTGGGGTCACGTTTGAGGATTGGCTTCTGATGATTGATTCCTTGAAGGGGCTTCTGAAAACAACATTTTGCCCAACCCCTGCCAATGGCAGAAACTTTCTATGGGGCAAGCTCTCTGGAAGTGGTTTGGAGGCCGATGGCCCGGATTTGTGCGGGTGAGGTGAACTATGCCCTGCGCTCCGCATGTGAATCTCGCGTCGCCTGTCCATCTCGTAGAGGGATTTGCCCTTGCTCGCGGAGAGCTTGCCTGGCGGAGCCCAGATCATGCAAAAAGCAAAACCTCTCGCATCGCTGACATCTGACCGAATAAGATCTCTGCAAACTAATGCCAGGTTCATCCACCTAGAATAAGGATCCCCAAGAACGGACCCTTCATGGGCGGTTTAACAGGCGGGAAACTTATGGAAACCCAACAGGTGGGAGTGAAACCCGCTGCATAGATAACCATATTGTTACATCACTACCCCAAAAGCCGGAGAAAAAACATATTAACTAACCATACCACTCCAGGCCAAAGGTGAATAGCACACTTTGCGAAGTGGTGCTTCACTTTTACAGGGAGGCGCAATATGGAAGAGCTCCATTGGCTTCCGGCGGCATGAAAGGCCCATGACTTCCCTCGTCGCGCCTTCATCCTTCACCTCGCGGTCACGGCAGCTTGCAGTTTTGCGGGCTCTGACAACGGCGTCCTGGGAAGCCCACACGATTAGTTTAGATAAGGAATTGGCATCTGTATGTCCAATCGGAATCAGCCTCTGTTTCAGGTTATATTGTTGGAAGGCCTGTCCACTCAACGCCCCTCAAGAGTCTGACTCATGCGCTTCGAATGTCAAAAGGTGAGACACACACACAATCCATCACCACCTGTGCTGCAACATCGGCCCAGATGATTCAGCCCGATTGGGTGCGTTTCAATTCAGCCGTCCAGCCCAGCCCAATGCAGTGCAGGTCAATTCAACGTTGTCCGCAACAGAAACTAAGAGAAGCCGCCATGTTTCTTGAACATGTCCGTTTCACCAGCCAATTCACAGCGGTGCAATTCAGCCCAACACCCAATCCAACTCTGTTCCATCTGGTGCAATGCAGCCCCATCCGAGCCAAGCTGTCCAATCCAGTGAAGTCGAATCTAGCCCTTTTGCCAATCCAGTAAGCAATCCATCAACCAATTCATCAAGCAAGCCATCTGCCGATCTGCCGCACCAAACGAGCGCGACAGAGAACAGAAAAACGTAGCGCCAGAGCCCGCCCGCCATCAATCCGCACAACACAGTAGCCAATTACGGCCGTGGGTGGGAGCCGTTCAACGAGCCACCCACAAGGGGTCACACAATTCAAGTGACTTCTTGTCAACCCCAGCTAAATCAGCTGATGTCGCCCCTGGACTCCAGCTCGTGCCTCTCTGCCCAAAGGATTTTCATGGGTAAACCGGGGAGCCCTCTTCCGTGTTTCTTTTTTGTGCGAAAACTGGCAAAAGAGAAACTGCGTGTCGAATTTTCCACTGAAAACTGGGGTCGGGAGAAACCCGGCGCACCCCGAATCCGACGGATTCGGAACCTCGGCTTCTTCATCCTCTTCTTGTTCCTCCTCTTCCTCCCCTTCCCCCTGCAAAGGACCAGACCAGGTGAAAGGCGACTCCGAAAGCCGGCCCGTTCGAACATCATTGCTTCGGTCAACTACAAATTCCAATGGCCAACAACCCATGACAGTCTTCTCTCGCGTGTCTGGCAGCCATGCCCGTGCAGAGCAGGGAAGACCACACGCACAAACATGTAAGCTAAAAAAAACGGAACAGGCGCCTTGCAATAAGCCTTCCACGGAGAAAAACAGTTTCTCGCACACCGCCCGCCGGTACCCAGAGTTGTTGCAGAAACATGATGCTTAAGTTCCAAGAGAGGTGTTGAATTCGAATGACTTCCATGGACTGTGGCAAGTTCTTGGTTGAAGGACCTGTGATCCTCGCCAAGGCTGATAGTTGGCCCCAGCTGAACCTGCTGTGCAGGCTGTATGTCGTAAATCAACCCACTTGAGGGAGGAGTTGCCTTAAGCAGCACCTTCTGAACGTGAACTTGCTGTCAGCATGCAGACTTGACGCCTCAGTTGGTGGGGCATCCCCAAGGAAGGAACGGAGTACACCCCAAAAAGATGCAAGGCTTTACTTTAGGTTGTATTTCTGCTTGAACATTTCATAGTTGAACCTTGGAGACCGTTTGCTGAGGACTTTCCAGCACGTGTCGGAGCACGGGGCCCATGTGGTGGCAGGACCATCCGGAGAGTGAGCACAAGCTCCCACAGGCGGAAACAACTCCCCTCTTCGTCTCCCCCTCTCACCGAACCTTGGCTAATTTGGCGCCTCGAGCCAAGTATATTCAAGTATGGTTTCCATTCAGCGTGACAATCTTACAATAACAAAGCACACAAGCCTCTTTGACTGGCTGCGCATTGTAGAGCCGTACCATCAGATGTGGCGGCTAATATCCACCTTATATCCTAAATGGGCTCGAGACCAAACTTGTTTGCTGCATTCCCCACCTGCTGGTTGGCCCATAGCCTGTCACTTGGATGACCTCACCCTGACTCACTCATACATTTATAGAAATTTACCATGTATTCCTTTGTGTTCCTCTCTTAAGTCAGGTTATACCATGTATTCCTATGTATTTCTCTCATAAATAGTGTTCAATGCCTTGATCAGCCAAATCATGACCTGAACCTTCCTTCCCCCAAACATATGCGCTAAACTGGCTGCACCTCGTCATTGAACCAAAAGGAATGGAGATAAGTCCAATGCATCTCAAGTCCATTCCCGAAACAAAAAGCCTCCTGCAGTGCTTTGATCTGGGCTTCAAGAGCCTGCTCCTGGCAATTGAATAGTCGGCCTTTCACGGTGAAGGGGGGGGTTGATCAAGGCGGAGCTAAGCTGGTTGGCGGCACCATATGGCCTCCTTCTACAAAGAACAGATTGCAGACACCTTGCCGCAAGAAGATCTTGGTAAAACCTGCTCTGGCCAGACCCAGAGAGGCTTTGTACTTTCAAACCCAAGGTGTTATGGCACTCAACACCTGAATGAATTCAGGACAGAAATGTCAATTGTCTCTGTCACACAACCACTCGGCGCATTGTGCTGTGCCTGAAAAGCTTCCTGTCGACTTTTTGGCTGGGGGCAACGTCAGCGTGCATCAAACCTGGGCTTACCGTGTTCGTCATCAGCTACCGTTCTATGACATCCATGGAAATGCCGCCAGCCTTCCGGTTCTGAACGGTTAACCTTGAAGCTCTTGCAGCTCATACCTATGATGACTTTGCGGAGGTTCCCCCACCTTTACCCCTGGGGCACATAATTACCGACCAACCTCTTGAAACGTTTGGCCGTGAATCCAGCTATGTCTCCTCTTCCTCCAGGTCCTCAAGCTCTGATGCTGCCTGCGCGAATGGTTTCAACGCGCAGCGTATGCCCAGCTCGGCGCGGTAGAGGCGGAGAGCACCCGCTTCAACGGCAATTCTCGCTTCAGCCAATGTCAAGTACCCACATACGTGTGCATGTTCACCATGTCACTGCTCAATGATGTTGCTTGAGTGGGAAAGCGAAAGCTGGA